AAGCTTGGCAGGCCCTAGCAAAGCTGCAAAGTTTGAGAGTTTATTTGACTACTTGCACAGCATGGAATAGGAAAAAATCCCTGCACACTAGATTCGGCGTCAGATGTCATTAAGACCAGTGTCAGGTTGCACAGGACGTCATGGATTTCGGACCAAAAGTTGTACACGTCAACGACTCGCCATGGAGATTGTCATATGCTCTGCACTTACAACGTCAATAGAGTCTTCACCAACGCCAATCTTCACACCCTTCTCGAAGCTGCAGGGCGCATCAACTATCACGTATTCACCTTGCAGGAAACAAAGTCAAGGAAGGCAGATGTGTGGCAGCTAAGTGATGGCACACTCATCATTCGTGGTGAGGAGGTCCCTTCCGGAACGTTGGATTCGTTGGATTTGTCGTACACCCATCTGTTGTCCATCTTGTCGATCCACATGAGACCTATCACCTCGCCTGGCTATCGTTCAACCCCGTCCTCTTCAATTGAAAACCAATACTATCAGTAGCTGCTATTCTCCAATATTAACTTCTGATGACTCGGCACTTGATGATTTTTATAAGGATTTGGATGAAGTCATCTGCAAAGAGAAGTCTTTCTGCAAATTTGTCGTGGATGACTTCAGCAAAACTCAGGATGTCAGAAAAAGGGGAGCATAGGATCGGAAGATTTGGATCAGGACTCTGGAATGAAAATGGTATCCACCTTGTTGGGCTCTTATCTACCGCACCCGAAGAACACCGGCAAAGGACATGGGGGTCAACAAATACGACTCATGCGGAGATCGAAAACATTTTCGCTAACTCAAGGTGGTGCTTACTGAACGTCTCAGGGGTACCATCATCAAAGGAGGCGGTGATCCAAGCCCTACTTCAGTGGTGGCTTAGATCACCGCCTTTGAGCAAAAGTACGATTCAGATGAAAGTTGGAAAAGAAGATCTATCGCCGTGCTGGAGGAAGAAAGGAAGTCGTATATGGCGGCGTCATTGGAGGGGTTCCTGACCACTTGTGACTGGCCCATCGAGGAGGACCCAACGACGGACTACGACCTGCTTCTCAAAGGACTGGTGAAAGTGCCTCAATGCCTCAAACAAGGTACTTGGAACGAATATCGATATACCAAGAATCTGGATCCGACTACAACACATAGCGAGTGACTGGTAGCCAGTAGTAGCAGTACAGCTTTGCAAGAAGATCGAAGGTACAGGCAATCGAATTTTTTGGGAGCAGCACAACGAAGGAGAAGTCTAAAGAAGTACCGCAGGGACCTTCTCGACTATCGTGTTCCGGTGACAACATTACTAAAGGAAGACTGGTCTCGCACATCTTCCCGACAAAAGGTGGAGATCACGAAGAGTTTCTACATCAATCTCTTTGCTCGTCAACACCCGTGTCAAACCCTGCCGCAATGCAGACCATGAAGGCAGCCACGGCTGCAGGACCGGACCATGTTTCGGCCGTCCTCTTACGAGCTGGAGGACATCGCCTAAGATGCTTGCGGAACATCTAACGTTACCTCAAGAAAAAAGTCCGTGACCAATGGACGACCTCGCGAGCAATCCTTTTTCTAAGAAGAATAGGGAGGATCTTTGGATCTAAAGTTCAGTATGCCTACTGAGCGTGCTTCCTCTTCACAAAGATTCTTCTCGATATCAAAGACACTGGATGAAGCCCAACATGTAGAACAAGCTGGATTTCGCTAGGGATTCAGCTGCTTGGATCGCATCCAGACAGTTTCGAAGATTATCGAGGTTTGCCAAGAGTACCGCCTACCTCTTGTCCTAATCTTCGTTGACGAGAAAGCATTTGACAGCGTTGAGACTAATGCCATAATGTCAACACTCGTCGACCAAGGGGTGGACCCATCTTACGTGAGGACATTGGCCGACTGCTACAAGAACTG